TGTGTGTGTGTGTGTGTGTGGTTTTGCTGAGGTTTTTCTTGGGTTTTGGGGGTCCTCCCTCCCTGTACCAGGGATCAAACTCAGGACCTTACGTTTGCCAGATGGGCGAGGCAGCACTGAGCTGCATCCCCAGCCCCTGGTGGTTTTTTTGTTGTTGTTGATGCTATTTTGTTTTTGGGGTTTTGTTTTGTTTTGCTTTTTTGTGTTTTTTTGGTACTGGGGATTGAACTCAGGACCTTGAGCTTGCAAGGCAGGCACCAGTGTTTTGTTTCTTTTCTTTAAGACAAGGTCTCACTATATAGTTAAGCTACTCTTGGACTCAGTATGTAGCATAGGCTGGCCTCTAACTCATGGCTATCCTTCTGCCTTAGCCTGCCAAGTGCTAGAATTACAAGCGTCCACCACCATACCCAGCTCATAACCATTTTTAAATGTGTATGTCCCTAATTACATTCCCATTGTTGTGGAACCAATCTCCAGAATGCTATACCTACTAAACTGATTCTTCATTTTCCCAACAACCCCAGTCCCTGGCAGCCACTCTTCTTTCTATGAATTTGATTGTTCTAGGTACCTCATATAAGTGGAATCATGCAGTATTTGTCTGTTTGTGACTAGCTTATTTCAGTCCTCCATGTTCATGTTATAGCATGTGTCAGAATTTCCTCATTTTTAAGGTTGAATGTATGTATATGCACTCCACTGTATGTATATACCACATTATAATATAGTCATTTGTTCATGAACACTTGGATTGCTTCCTTATTTTGGTTGTTATGAATGATACAGTTATGAACATAGATGTACAACTATCTGTTTCACACTGTGCTTTCAGTTTTTTTGGGTCTATATCTAGGAGTAGAATTGCTAGGTCATATGGTAAGTCTGCATCTAACTTTTTGAGGAACCAGCTCCTTATCATAGCAGGGACACTATTTTACATTCCTACCAACAGTGGATAAAGGTTCCACTTTCTCTACATTCTTATTAACACTTGTTAATAACATTTCTATTTTTTGTTTGTTTTTTAATAGTAGCCATCCTTTTTTTTTTTTGGTACTGGGGTTTGAACTTGGGTCTTTGCACTTGCAAGGCAGGTGGCAGAACCACTGAGCTAAATCCCCGGCAATAGTAGCCATCTTAATGGGCATAAGGTAGTATTTTATTGTGAAATTCAATTTGCATCTCTCTAATGATTAATGACTTGGGGAGCACATGCACACACACACATGTGTGCGTGTGAGACTAGGGAATGAACCCAGGGGCTTTGCAATAAGCTGTATCCACGGGCTTTTTTTTTTTTAAGCAGTGTCTCGATAAATTGCCCAGATTCAGCAGCTCAAATCTGTAATCCTGCCTCAGCCTCCAAAAGTACTCAGATTACAGGCATGCACCATCATGTCCAGCCTTGGGCAGTTTTTTATGTGCTTGTTAATAATTTATATGTCATCTCTGGAAAAACTTTCCTTGTTTTTTGGTTTTTGGGGGGTTTGGGGAGGTTTTTTTGGTTTTCTGAGATAGGTTCTCACTGTGTAGTTCAGGCAGGCCTCAAACTTGTAGCATTCGGAGCCAGAGATTTAGCTCAGTGGTTCCGCTGCCTGCCCTGTAAGCGCAAGGACCCGAGTTCGATCCCTGGTACCAAAAAACAAAAACCTTGTAGCAGTCCTCCTGCTTCAGCCTCCTAAGTGCTAGGATTACAAGTGTGTACCGCCACACCCAGCTTTTTTTTTTTTTTTCAAATAAGTTCTTGCTCTGTTGCCCAGTTGGCCTCAAACCTAGGATCCTCCTGCTTTGACTTTCCAAGAAGCTGGGATTACAGTTGTAGTTGTGTACCAATATGCCTAACATCTAGAGAAATATCTATCCAATTCTTTATTGGTTTTTGAATTGGCTTTATGTTTCCAAAATGCATCTTAAATGATTGCTTTCTTCTATATCCACATTTGCCTTCCTGGCCCTGCTTAGCCTTCACGTGGAAAACCAAAATACTTTTTAATTAGAGTCCCTGATTGTACTCTTGTGCCCTTCCTTTTCACTCATCATGATGCAGCCAGAATGATTTTCTAGAAATATGAACTCTTAACATGTCACTTACTTGATCAAAATTTAATAGTATTCTATTATTCTGGAGAAAAAAAATTAACTGGTTTTGGTGGTGCACACCTGTGAGCCCATCACTCTGTGAGGCTAAGGTGGAGGATCGCAAATATGAGCCCACCCTGGGCAACTCAGCAATTGAGCAAGATTGTCTCAAAACAAAAACTGGGCTGGGGATGTAGCCCAGTGTTGAAGGCTGTAGGTTCAATCCCAGGGGCCAGGGGAGATCCATGAATCATAGCCTGACATGATCTGGACTATCCTTCTGAACACATTCTCCTCTGATCACGATTCTCAGACCCACTGGCTGTCTTTTAGTTCCCAAAATAGGACTAACATTTTCCCTTCTTAACCTCTTCACACATTATTTCCTCTACCAGAAACATTTTTTCTGTCTGCTCTGCTGAGTTAATGCCCACTTGTCATATGGGTCATAACTTAAATTTCACTTCTCCATTGATGCCCTTAGGAAGTTCTTTCCCTGATCTAAATAAGGCCCCCATTATAGGATTCTATCATAACACACTTCCCTAAAAGCGTCTATCAAAGTTTGTAAAGATGTGTTTATTTTTCCATTATTTATTACAGATCGGCCATTAGATTATAAGCTCTATGAGGGCGAGGACAAGACTATTTATCTAACACTAAATTCCCAGACCAAACAACATCTCCCGTATAGAAGGTACTCATTTGTTAATTGAAAGAATAAGTCATGAACAACAACAGATATGGAAGCTATTTTGAAATATTAATATGATAATTCATACTAGTAAATATGAAGTTTTACAAAATATTAATTACGGAAGTTAAAAAGAATGAAGCAAATCCATGCTGTGAAAAAGTTCTCAGAAATACATGTACGGTAAGTCCTTGACTTACGAACATTCCAGTTGCAAACTTCCACACATACAAAGGGACCCCACATTACAAACATTCGTAGATGCGAACAAATTGCAGAAGTAGCTCACTTATCTGGCAGACATTGTCACAAGTGTGCTGCTGCTCTGTGCTTACTGTACAGTGTGATAGTGTACTGTAGTACAGTGCTCAATCAGAACCAAGGATGTCTGGAAGCAAGAGAAAAAGCAAGGGTGATGTGGAGGGAACTGCTAGGAAGTGCAAAGCAATAACCATGGAAATAAAAGTGAAAATGCAGTATAAGACTCACTTTGTCGGATTTACAAAATGAATCTGACTTAGGAACATTCTCACAGAATGGAATTTGTTCATAAATTGAGTACTTACTATATTACAAATAATTTGCAGATAGCATGATCGTTTCCCTTAAAATGCCGAGGATGGCCCAGCATGGTGACTCACACCTGAAATCCCAGCACTGTAATTCCAGGGAGGCTGAGACAGGAAAATTACTTTGAGTTTGAGGCCAGCCTGGGCTACATAGTGAGTTTAAGGCCAGTCTGAACTATATAGCAAGACCTTGTCTCAAAAACAAAGTAAAAAGCTGAGGAGGGCTAGGAGTGTAGAGCACTTGCCTACTATGTGTATAGCCCTAGTTTAATCCCCTATACCGCAAAATAATTTTAAAAATTTTTTGAAAGACTGAGGACAGAGCTGTTACTTTCCTAAAGCTATGTTACTGGTTCACATGTCAGTGGGTGACCCAAGGTGTTCCAGTTAGTTCTTAATCTTGGCAAGGGCTAATAGGAAGAAATACTCATCTTAAGAGGAGTGCCTAGATTCCTATAAAGGGTGAGAATAAAGTCAGCACAGCAAGAGAGAGATCTTAGAGTTGAAAAGCAAACAACTGTTAAAGATACTTTTTTTTGGTACCAGGAATCAAACTCAGGGCCTCAAGCTTGCCAGGCAGGTGCTGTACTGCTGAGCTACATCCCTCCCCCTAAAGATACTTTTTGAAACAATACATAAGTATACAAAAATTAATTTTCATAGATATCAGTTAATTTTAAAATCTAATGGTAAAAATATCTTCTCAAAAGCAACAAAAACATTGTACTCATAAATTTAATCATATATGACACAAAATTATGAAAATTATTGAGAAATCTAATACAAAAAAGACTTTACTAAATGGGAAGACACCCATATTTGTGTAAAGTCAGTATTTTTAATTGTCTGGTATGCCCCCACTTGATACATTTTACAGCAGAACTTATGGCAATCTTGCATAAAGAATTCTAAAGTTCCCTTGGAAGAACTGTGTGAGCCAGGTGTGGTGGCACATGCCTGTAATCCCATCTCGGGAGACTGAGGCAGGAGGATTGCCACAAGTTTGAGGCCAGCCTGAGCCACACTGTGAGTTCAAGTTCAGCCCGAACTATGTATGGAGACTTTGTCTCAAAAAAGAAAAATAAGGGGGCCAGGGTTTTAGCTCAATGGTGCCATGCCTACCTCACAAGCACAAGGTCCCAAGTTCAATCCCCGGTACCAAAAAAAAAAGAAAAGAAAAAGAGGGAAGAAAGAAAGAACAAGCCACGTATATGTGAATCTGGATAGATAAGTTGACAGAGCTTAGATAGCATTTGTCTTTGGGTAGGGAGGGTTAAGTTATTTTCATGTTCTTTTTACATGTCTGGGTTTTGGGGGGTTTGTTTGTTTTATTTTTTGAGACAGAGTAGTCTCGCTCTGTAATTCAAGCCTGGCTTACATTTCTGGGTATTTTTTTTTCCCTAGTACTGAGGATCGAACACAGGACCTTGCACTTATGAGGCAGGTGCAGCACCACTGAGCTACATCCCTAACCTTACATCTCTGTAGTTTCAAATTGTTTGTTTTCATGTTGTTTTGTTGAGGCAAGGTCTCCTATGTAGTCCAGGCTGGCCTTGGACTCACTATGTAGCCCAGTTTGACCTTGAACTCACAGCAGTCCTCCTGCCTCAGCCTCCTGAGTGCTAGGATTACAGGTGGACACCACCACACCTGGCTCAGTATCTATGGATTGCTTTCATAATAGGGAAAAATGGCCAGGTGTGGTGGCATACACCTATGGTGCCAGCACTTGGGAGGCTGAGGCAGGAAGGTTGTCAGGAGTTCAAGGCCAGACTAGACCACATAATGAGTTCAAGTCCAGCCTGAATTACAGAGGAAGACCCTGTCTCAAAAGGTGGGGGGGGGGGACGGACACCTTCATGTTTAAAAGCTACCATAATAAGGGCTGGCGATTTAGCTCAGTGGTTCCAGCACCTGCCTGCAAGCGCAAGGTCCCAAGTTCGATCCCTGGTACCAAAAAAAAAAAGCTACCATAATAAGAGAAATGAAAGGGCCAGGGCTTTACTGAGTGGTGCCACACCTGCCTCACAAGCGCAAGGTCCTGAGTTCGATCCCCAGTATGGGGTCGGGGGAGAGAAATGAAAGCATAATACAATTATTGAAAATTGTAATTACGGAAACTTTGAATAAACTATGCCAAAATGAAGAAGAAAATGTTTGCTTTGATTTTATTGTCATGTACTCTCTATACATTGAAAACAGAAGGAAACAAAATTAAAATAGTTTTTTGGTTTTTGCCAGTACTGGGGACTGAACACAGGACCTATGCACTGAGCTAGTTCCCCAGCCCCATATTCGTTTTTGATTTTTTTTTTTTTTTTTTTTTTGGTACTGGGGATCGAACTGAGGACCTTGCACTTGCGAGGCAGGCACGGTGCCACTGAGCTAAATCCCCAGCACTTGTTTTTGATTTTGAGATTAGGTCCCACTAAATGGCCCAGGTTGGGCTCAAACTTGTGATCCTCCTGCCTCAACCTTCCAGAGTGATGGAATTACAGGTGTGCACTACTATATCAGGCTTGGTTGATTTGGTGGGGGGTTTTTTGGTACTGGGGATCAAACTCAGGACCTTGTGCTTGCGAGGCAGGCAGTGGAACCACTGAGCTAAATCCCCAGCCCTTGGTTGATTTATTAAAAGGGTGGTTTTGTAGGCAATTTGTTAAGTAATGTTTTAAAGAAGTAAAAATTTAAACGAGATGCAGTGGCACACGCCTGTAATCCAGGCTATTAGGGAGGGTGAAATAGGAGGATCCAAGTTCAAGGCCAGCCTGTGCAATTTACTGAGATTCTGTCTCAAAATTAAAAAGAAAACCAAAAAACAAGAACGAATCTCAGAATGTAGCTCATGATAGAACTCTTGCTGAGCATAATTCAAGCCCTGGAGTTCAGTCCCCATCACCACAGAAATATATATAAATAAATAAAAATTTAAATCAGGTACACATTTGTCCCAGCATTTGAGAGGCTGAGTTGAGAGGATCCCTTGAGCCTAGGAGTTCAAGACCAGCTGAACAATACAGTGAGCCTCCATCTCAAGCAAAACAAAACAAAACCCAAACAACGAAAACAAAGCTGGGCATGGTGGTACACACCTATAATCCCAGCACTCTGGGAGGCTGAGATGGGAGGATTGCAAGTTGGAACTCAGCCTGGGCAATTTAGCACGTCCTTGTCTCAAAGTGAAAAATAAAAAAGGTTCTGAGATGTAGTTAAGTGTGAAGGCTTTGGGTTCATTCCCCAGTATCAAAAAACAAACAAACTAACAAACAAAAAACTCTATAGCTGGGCTGAGGATTTAGCCCAGTGGCACCACACCTGCCTTGCAAGTGCAAGGTCCTGAGTTCAATTCCTGGTGCAAAACAAAAACAAAACCCTATAGCTGAATTTGAAAACAATGATAAAAAATAAAAGCAAGATAGAGAATAGTAGCAGTGCCAAGAGATGGGTTGTATAAGTAGGGGAGTAAGTTTTAACATAAGCACCATCACTTACTTCCTGTAAAGCTTCACTGGAAAACTTCAGCTTGAAGACAATTCCCCCTCTATACAGAAATTCTGGCACTTAATAAAGGAGATGATATATAACACCACAGGCCCCAGGTCGATTCTTCTGTATTATGCATTTTAAGACATTTTCTTTTTTTTCTTTTTTCTTTTCAGTACTGGGGACCAAACTCAGGACCTTGCGCTTGTGAGGCAGGCAGCGGAACCACTGAGCTAAATCCCTGGCCCCAAGATCTTTTCAATAAACACATTGTCTAAGGCTTTGATTTGACCTCTTTCTTATTCCTGGGTTCCAGAACCATGTGTGCTCAGTACTGCATCTCCTTCGCTGATGTTGAAAAAGCTCATACCAACATTCGAGATTATATACACCTCACACCAGTGCTAACAAGCTCCATTTTGAATCAAGTAGCAGGGCGCAATCTTTTCTTCAAATGTGAACTCTTCCAGAAAACTGGATCTTTTAAGGTAAAAATCCATTTTGTTATTGTTTTCAAGTATGTTTGTTTTCAAATCCCTTAACATGTAAATTTATTTGATCCTCCTGCCCACACATGAGGTATGGATAATTAAATTACCTTTTTTTACAGTTAAAAGGTTCTAGAATTTTTCCTTTCAAGTCCTAGTTCACATCAGTGTTAATAAGCTACTTTTACACAATCTAAAAATTCTTTAGACTCATATATAATTTATATATTAAACATAATACTTATTGCCCAAACTAGGATATTTGACAATCAAAAATAGAACTCATAATGATTAAAGATAGACAGTAAGCCAGGCCTGATGGCACACATCTGGAGTCTCAGGTACTTTGGTGTGTAAATAGGCAGATTGCTTGAGCCAGGAGTTCAAGTTGAGACCCTGTTTCTAAAAACGGAGGAAGGTGGGCTGGGGATTTAGCTCAGTGGTTCCGCCGCCTGCCTCGCAAGCGCAAGGACCCAAGTTTGATCCCCAGTACCAAAAAATAAATAAATAATAAAAAAATAAAAAGGGAGGAAGGTTAGGAGTAAAGCTCAGTGGTACAGCACTTGCCAAGCACGCACTGACGCCCTGGCTTCAAACCCCAGCATCATAAAACAAAAAGCAAACAAAAACATCCATCACAGTAGGCATCAACCAGGACTGTTACTGGCAAAATGGGGAGTGTGACCACCCTGTTTGTTGTAACCCAAGTTTCAGCATATACTTTGTTATATACAGCTTGCTACACATTGATACCTTTTGAATATAGAAGAGCTAAATCTAGCTAAACTTTCCGATAAAACTTTTTCTACAAAATATGTCAGTGCCCTTTTTACATAAAGATAAGACTTTTAAACCAGCCATGGTGGTGCACTCTGGGAGGCTGAGACAGGAGGATTACAAGTTTGAGTCCAGCTTGGGCAACTGAGTGACTCAGCAAGACCCAGTCTCAGAAAAAAAATTAAAGGGGGCTGGGGATTTAGCTCAGTGGTTCCGCCACCTGCCTTACGATCGCAAGGTCCCAAGTCCAATCCCTGGTACCAAAAAAAAGAAAAAAATTAAAGGGCTAGGGATGTAGCTCAGTGTAAAGACCCTGGGTTTAGTCCCCAGTACTGTATACACACACACACACACACACACACACAAAGATAAGACTTCTAAGTATGTTAATTTGTTAGTACAATCCTCTGACCAATTAATTAAGCTTTAAGGGGAACCTGAAAGATGGATTCCCCACCGAGAAGTGTTTTTAAATTTTAAACAAAACTGTCTATGTTTTTATTACCCATTGCTTCTACTATGATTTGCTCTTCATTCACTCATCATACATTAAGCCCTTACTTTCAGTAACTACTAGGTATGCACACAATATGCCTTATCCTTCATCCATACTTTCTCAATGGAAAGATAAGCTGGTCAACAAATAACCTGATGAAAAGTATCTTTTTTTGAGACTGGGTCTCACCATGTAGCTCAGGCTGGCCTTGAACTCTTGGCAGTCCTCCTGCTTCAGCCTCCCAAGGGATGGGATTACAGGTGTGTGCCACAACACTCAGTTTTGAAATGGTTACTTTTGCCCGAGACATTGAACAGGTGATATTTGTTTCAAGTTGTACTGGTTGCATATAGGGAGTTGGGAGAAAGAACTACACTACACATAGAGATAATTACCATGTTCAGGATAGGGGTGTGAGCTAACCTAGGAGGGAAACTAGAAGCAATATAGGCTCATAGGCATGAGAGAGGTAATAAGAGTGTTTTAGAAAGGCTGCAACTAGCTGAGTGAGGTGGTGTACACCTGTAATCCCAGCATTCAGGAGGCTGAGACAGGCAGACTGCCACAAGTTTCAGGCCAGCCTGGGCTACATAGTTCAAGGCTACATAACCAAACCTTGTCTCAAAAAACAAAAAACAGAAAAAAAAAGACTTCAGTTTAGAAGGAACTTGTATTTTTGTCTTACAGAACAAAATGGTCCATAAAAGAAATGACTAGGTTTGTGTTTTTAAGAGATCACTTTCAAATCTAGTGGAAATATTAAATGAGTGATCTTTGAGGCAGTTATATCAGTTGAGGTTTGCTAACATGAAGCCTCTCATGCCAGGCATGGTGATATGCCTATAATCTCAGCTATTGGGAGGCTGAGAGAAAAGGATTCTAAGTTTGAAGCCAACCTGGGCAACCTAGAGAGGCCCTGACTCAAAATTAAAATGTAAGGGCTGGTATATAGCTCAGCAGTCTCTGGGTTCAGTCCCCAGCACCCAAAAAGAAAAAGTTGGGTTGCTGGTGAACTTTTTAGAGCTTTCAATAACAAACAGCCCACTATGGCACCCATGCTATAGGTTGACTAACACTGACTAGGCTAGTGTTTCTTTGTTTTTAATGAAGTTTATGTGTTGTTGTTGTTTTTTTTTTTTTTTTTGGTACCAGGGATCCAACTCAGGTCCTTGCACTTCCACAGCAGGTGGCAAAACCATAGAGATAAATCCCTGGCCATTTAACGAAGTTTAAAAAATGAAATAATTGAAATGTTAAAATAGAAGGGCTGAGGGTATAGCTCAGTGGTAGAACACTTGGCTAGCGTACATCAAGCCTTGGGTTTGAGCCACAGCACCACAAAAACATAAAATAAAACATAAGATGAAATATAAAATAGCTTACAGGATAAGGGTATAAAGGGAGACTATTTCTGCATAGCTGTACAGTGTTTGTATTTTAAACCACAAAAGTCAAAAGGTTAAGAAAAATTTAAGTTTATAGAGTAAGCTACATTAAGTTGTTAATTATTGAAGAAAGATACTTTTTATAAGCTTAATGTGGCTTAACGTGTGCAGTGCTTATGACATTTACAATAGTATAATGTCCTCAGCCTTCATATTCATTCACCACTCGCCCAGAGCAACTTCTGTTCCTGCAAGCTGCAGTCATGGTAAGTAAGTGCCCTATATTTGTATACCATTTTTACCTGTTATACCATATTTTTACTGAACCCTTTCTGTTTATATACACAAATACCTACCATTGTTATAATTTTGTTTTCATTGTGTTATAATTTTTTTTTTTTTTTGGTACCGGGGATCGAACTCGGGACCTTGTGCTTGTAATGCAGGCGGCAGAACCACTGAGCTAAATCCCCAACCCTATTGTGTTATAATTGTCTACAGTATTCACTTTAGTACAGTAACATGCTGTGCAGGTTTTTAGCCTAGGAATAGGTAAGTTTGTGTAACTATACTCTATGTTCACACAAGGAATTGTCTAATGATGCATTCCTTAGAACATGTCCCCATCTCAAAGCAGTGCATGACTGTACATGAATTCATCATCCCCCTTTTCCAGATTCGTGGTGCCCTTAATGCCATCCGAGGATTAATTCCTGCCACTTTAGAAGGGAAGCCCAAAGCTGTTGTTACTCATAGCAGTGGAAACCATGGCCAGGCTCTCACCTATGCTGCCAAATTGGAAGGTACTTGTTTAATTTCTCAGGATACTGGGTAGAATTATCAGAAAGTGGAAAATTATCCTTAATTTCAGTGGGAGAGGTGATACGGGAATTTCTAAAGGAGTCACTATCTGATTACAAGCAAAGTGAATTAAGTTTTTATACCAAATTCTCTTGACTTAACATGTTTTTCCCCTCCCAGGTATTCCTGCTTATATTGTGGTGCCCCAAGCAGCTCCCAATTGTAAAAAACTGGCAATACAATCCTACGGGGCCTCCATAATATACAGTGAACAGAGTGATGAGGTGAGGAAAGCAGTTTTCAGTACTCTATCTTAACAGCTTCATCTGACCAACTGTGTGCTTCCTACCTTACTGGATCCTCCTCAGCCTTCTTTGTTGTTTTCTCTCCCTCTCTCAATGTTAACATGCCCAACTTTTTCTCTATCTGAACTCAAGATGGTCTCATTAATTTCAGTTTAAAATAACACCTATACTCAATTCTAGTCCTGCTCTCTCCCTTTAACTCCACACTTGTATATCCAACAGCTACTGAACTTTCCTACTCGGTCATCTTCAGAGGCCTCCCAAAGCTACTATGTCCAAACCCAAACTCTTGATCTTACTCCCCTATTGCTCCACTTCCAGTCTTCTTCATCTCAATACATGGTAACATTTATGCTAGTTGCTCAAGCAAAAAAAATTTGATAACTCTGATATCTCACATCCAAGTCTGTCCTTTCAAAATATTTCCATAATCCATTAACAGCTTCTACCATTACCACCTTGATTCAAACCAGCATTATTTTTCATCTAGATTTAGTAGCCTAACTGGTCTTTGCTTTCACCCTCACCCTTTTAGCCTGTTTGCAAGAGCAATCAGAGCTACCCATTTAGTAAGTTAAAACTCATCTCTTGCAAATCAAATCCTCCCATCACTTCCCACCTCATACACAGTGAAAACCAGAGATATTTTGTTTTTTGAGATGAGATCTTCCTATGTAGCCCAGGATGGTCTCAAATTCACCATCCTGCCTTAGCCTCCTGAGTGCTAGGATTATAGGGATGTGCCACCACACCCAGCTTTTGCAAGTTTTATGTTTGATTTGGTTTGATTTGGTGCTAGGGACTAAACCCAGGGTCTTGACATGCTAAGCATATTCTTCCCACTAAGCTACACCCTCCAGCAACCAAAGTTCTTGAATTATCTAAGACCTAGATTTCTAGCTTTCTGACCTCACCTAACAATTACTGTCCCCAAATACTCCATGCCACCAACACTTACTACCTCCTCCAAAAGGTTAACCACTCCTATCGCAGTCTTGGCACTTGGTGTTACCACCTCCTTGGAATATTCTGCACAACCACAGTAATTATTCATTTACAAATAATCTGTCGATTTACAAGGGGCCCTTCCTGGTCAGCCTCTGTACTACATTGTTTTCTCTACAGTATTTAGACATATACCACACATTTACTTATATCCCACTTTGAAAAATATAACCCTCTTGAGGACGGTATATTTTGTTTACTGCCTTTTCTATCCAGTGACTAAACAAAGTCCGACAAAAAGCAAATGGTCAATAAACTGTTAAATGACTTAAACTTTTGGAGAATACTAAATGCAAATCAAGCTTCTATACTCTTTCAGTCTAGAGAAAAGGTTACAAAAAGAATTATGGAAGAAACAGAAGGGATCCTGGTACATCCCAACCAAGAGCCTGCAGTGATAGCTGGGCAAGGGACAATTGCCCTGGAAGTGCTGAACCAGGTAAAATAGCCTCATTAGTTCTTCCTATTTATTTTTTGGTGCTGGGGATTGTACTCGGGTCCTTGCACTTGCGCAGCAGGTGGCAAAACCACTGAGTTAAATCTCTGGCCCAGTTCTTCCTATTTAGCTACTGGTAAAGCTGTTTGGCTATAAATTCAATTATTTTATGTGTAGATATTAAGTTGCTTAATAATTCGCCTATTTGTATTTTTACTAAAGGTTCCCTTGGTGGATGCACTGGTGGTACCTGTAGGAGGAGGAGGAATGGTTGCTGGAATAGCAATTACAGTTAAGGTGAGAAAACAGCTTCTGACAGACTTCCTGCTTTAGGCACAGAGGATTTACATCATAGTACACTGTGGATACTTGCTCAACATCCCCCAAACTGCCATTCTTTCCCATCATCTCTTGGAACCCAAGACGCAAAGCCCTTCTGTGCTTCACTACTCTCTTCTTCACCTCTGACTTTACAGCACAATGTCATTACAATGAATGATACCTTCAGTTTTTCCCCCAAATCCATTTCACCGAACTATTATCCACGATAGGGACTACCTTTACCCAGTTACCAAAACCAGTTGTAATACAGGCAACTAAAGGCTGGTATTAAACATACAATTTATTTTATAAAGTGCTTGAAGGTCTTATTTTTATTACAGCTGTCAAAGAGGACTCTTAGGTAGAAACGCATTACCTATTCTGCCTATTTTAGGCATGCACATAGCAATGGTTAGTTATAAGGTGTCTTAATATTCCTCTTCTCAGGCTCTGAAACCTACTGTGAAGGTATATGCTGCTGAACCCTTGAATGCAGATGACTGCTACCAGTCCAAACTGAAAGGGGAATTGACCCCCAATACTTATCCTCCAGAAACTGTAGCAGATGGTGTCAAATCCAGCATTGGCACAAACACCTGGCCTATCATAAGGGACCTTGTGGATGATGTCTTCACTGTTACAGAGGATGAAATTAAGGTAAGGCTCCAACAAGAACAGAGTACCAAGTAACACTAGTGCTCCAACAGGTAACAATAGTGCAGTCACTAAGGCAAAAAAATTTCAACACAGTTCCTTTTGTTACGAGAAAGAACTGATCCACAGGGCTTTAACTAGGTGACTTCATGACATGTGGGAGTGTGGCCTATATATATTAAGACAAACCTTTTGCAAGTATTAGGTAGGGTGACAGCTGTATGTGTGCTTTTCATTGGCAAGCATACATACACAGCAACATGAAAAGTCAAACTGAGCAAACATCCTTTATGGGCCTTTACAAGTGAACCTACTAGACTCTGCCCTCCTCTTACCTCACTTATCCATACTTCCTTCTGTACCAACAGTATGCAACCCAGCTTGTGTGGGAGAGGATGAAACTACTCATTGAACCTACAGCGGGTGTTGGAGTGGCTGCTGTGCTGTCTCACAACTTTCAAACAGTTTCTCCAGAAGTAAAGAACATTTGTATTGTGCTAAGTGGTGGAAATGTAGACTTAACGTCCCTAACGTGGGTGAAGCCAGCTGCAAGACCAGGTCCTTACTAGCCATTTATTTATGTAAAATGAAGAGATATGATTGTCTCTAAATACATGAAATTTTTGTTTTCCATATTCCTTAGTTTCCAAAATGTTATTGGAGAATACATATTTCAGTAAGATTTAATAGTTTTTTGAACTAAGTTGTAGTAGAAAAACTTCCATTCTTAACTGAGATATCTGTTAGGCCAAAAAAAAGTCTTCTGTAAACAGGGCAGCCAAATGATAGGCTAAAGCAGTAACCACAAAGTGCCCCATTACAACCCATAAGCTCCCATCCTGGAAGTGCTAACTGGCAGCAGTAAGGCAGAATCCATTATTCCATGTCCACTTCAGGTGTTGTTGAAGAAATCTCACTTTTCACCCAAGGTACTGGGTCTGGTACATATGGATCATAAGTCCATTTAGGGAAAACTCGTTTATAGAGGTTCATCAGTACTGTGTCCTGAGATTTTAGTTTCCCATCAAAAGTACATTTCATGTGGCCATGGGTACCTAGAAAGAAAATAACAGGTTGGTAAAATTAAAAGTAGAAAATTCTTGCAGGCCTGTAAACCCAGCTACTTGAGAGCCCAAGGCAGGAGGATCTCAAGTTCAAACCTAGGCTGGGCAACTTAATGAGTCCTTGTCCCCAAATAAAAAACCAAAGAAAGGGCTGGGGATTTAGCTCAGTGGCTCTGCCGCCTGCCTCAGAAGCACAAGGTCCCAAGTTCGATCCCCGGTACCAAAAAAAAAAGGCTGGGAATATAGCTCAGTACAAAGCCCTGGGGTCAATCCTTAATACCACAATATTAATCAATTTTAAAAAACTATTATCCAGTTTTTATTTTTATTACATGTTTGTAGTACATAACGATTACATTCCTCATGGGGAGCTGGCACATGTACATAACATATCTTAACTCTTTTTTAACTCCCTTCCCTCCATCTCTTGGTCCCCTTCCCATTTACAAAAAAAAAAAAAAAAAAAATCCATCTACTTATTTCCTATTCCTATCTTTCACTTTACTCTTATAATTAGTTAAAAAGGATAAGGGTTATAACTCAGTGATCGAGGACCTCCCTTTGCCCTAGGTTCTATCCCCAGTAGGGCAAAAAAAAAAGCAGTGAGCTTCAAACCTAATGGTCATTTGATCACACTGGAGAAATCTAGATGAGGTCCCAAATCCCACGTTTCCTCACCTAATGGCTCCTTGATGTGTCCCCTGCGGCCCCACTTTGTCCTCAGTTCCACTGGTTTAAACCACAGTACATCCTCTTGTAAAAGAGAGAAAACCAAGATAAATTTATCCACAAACATTAACCCAGCCTTCACACCACAAAGGCAATCATATCCCATCTTCCTTCATACCTACCTCTACTAAAGAACATGTAACGCACAACTGCCATCTTAGTAAAAATTCTGAAAGGATGACCACTCAGAACAACTCTTTTGATGACTATTCTATCTGGATCCACTGACAACAGATGCCCTGTAGCAATGAGGCTGTGCATTCCTAAAGGGGGAAAGGAAAGCAGCTATTCAGGAGTCTACAGGCTCATGTATTGACCTAGTCCATTTAAAGATAATTCATATGTAAGATTTTCTTGGAGAAACCTTAAAATTGCTTTGCACTATGGTCTGCTCCTGTGTCCATAGCAAATGATATTCCTACTAAGCCTGTCCCCAGACCTATCCTAAATATAGCACTCTGAATATCCTCTACTGATTAGCTAAGAGTTACAAACAACAGAAAACCAAGTTTATCATCCCTGGCTTATAACCACTGGGAGGCTGAGATTGGTATATTCTGAAAACCTTCTTTACCTTTTCCATTTGGCTCTCAAATCAAAATACAGAAATAAAAAGTGATAATCCTATTAAGGATATGTAGGCCTGTTCACTCACATGACCTCAACTCACCATTGCTTTTCTGTTTGAAAAGCAGCACAGATGCAGGAGGAAAAGTAATTGGTGCATATACTGTTGCCACCACGGCTTCATCAGCAGTCAGAAATCTCTGAAATTTGTGTTTATCCGCTGCAATAATAAAGGTTAAAAAAGAAAGAAAAAACAATAAAATTGTAAGAAACCATAGGCAAAAACCACATCACTACATTTTTTTTCCCAGTATTGGGGAATTGAACCCAGGGCCTCACCCAGCTACATGCTAGCGAAGCACCCAGCTACATCCCAAGCCAACTGCCAAACTGCAACTCAAACTGAAAGCAGTTTATGTTATTTGCCCAATAATTCTTAAAAATTTTTCCAAACGCAGTACTACTAAAAAAATATAGCCCATTTCTATCAGTCATTTTTCAACTAGAGATAGAAATCTTGGGGACCAAATTTTAATTGGGTTTCAAAAAGTTCTCCAGGTTGATTCACCAGAATCAACTTAGCCTCCCTACCTCATTTGAGAATCAGTGCTTTATTGAGACTCCCTCTGCTAAATCATTAGTACTTATTCTTGAGCAGGTACTGGCAAACATTTACTGCAAAGGGCCAGGTAATAAAACTCATCCAGAGCACCATTAATGCTGTTGTCATCTCTTTCTCCCGCCATTGCTAAAGGCTGAGTGGAGGGCCAGGGATTTAGCTCAGTGGTTCCACCGCCTGTCTTGCAAGCACAAGGTCCCGGGTTCGATCCTCAGTGCCAAAAAAAAAGGCTCAGTGGAGCAAAGGTGGTCTTCAAAAGCTACCAAATTAGTGGGCAACACATCTTGCTACTCCTACTATGTAGGAGCACAATCATTTTTGCTACATAAATGTCCCGAGCTACCACTTACCAAATTCTCCTCTAGTCTCAACACCTTCAAATTCACACACCAAATTGTGGGTCACACCCTGTCTCTATTACTTCATGATAGCACTGGCACACCAGACACCAAGTTCCTATACTGACACATGCTGCTGACTCTGATTCAAAACCTACTGGAACAAATACTCATGGCAAAGAAGCCTCAGCAACAGGTTGCATCATGGCAATGCTTCAGACAGGTTCAGACATGAATAAAAACATCATTGGCTCCTAAATCAGAGTAGACTGTGAAAATACCTATAACCCAGAGATCTCGAAGTTTGAAACTGTGTATTCCGTACCTTCCCCACCCACCTCCCCACCAAGAATCAGTCTCCTAAATGATATTAAAATGGAGAAGAACCTAGAAGTTTCCCCACTACTAACCTGCAGTGTGCTGAGAAAATAAAGGTGAGGCTCGGAAGCGTCTGAATCCACAGTGGAAGATCAGTTCCTCTTTGGCTTTCACAGGTTCAGTGTTGCCAGGGTTCCGGCTCACCACCATGTTCAATACTGACATCTGAGGACCAAGTAAGAAAAAATTTCATAGTCTAGGAGTGCAACACCCTAACCTGAAATAAGGCAAAATCAAACAAATATCAGATAAACAATGAGAACAGACAATGCTAATTCATGGGACACGGATTTATCCTTTAGCAACAACTGCATTAGTGATGAACATGGGTTGATCGGAGCTTTCATGAACCCCCCCCTTTTGGGGGGGGGTACCAGGGATCGAACTCGGGACCTTTCGCTTGCGAGGCAGGCACCGCTGGCACCACTGAGGTAAATAAATCCTTGACCCTCATGAAACCTTTTAACCTAACTTATCTTCCTGCACCTAACATGAAAAAGGTCAACACCTGCCACAAAATCATCGACCTCCAAATCATTCACTCACCATACATCTGCAAAACCACTCATTAAAGTCTCTTTTTCCTCAACCAGCTCATACTGACCAAACTTTAGAGCTGTCACATACTCAATGGGCATGACTACTGCCTACCTAGAGAAGAGAGATCTGTACTTTGGCATAAACCTTTTAAGGCTGCCAGCTCTTACTCAAAATCTGAAAACATACTTATCTCAGAGAAGTCTCAGAATGACAAAAAGACTGCATCACTAAGATGCTTCAGACAGGTATAGACATTTTGGGTTAAAACCATCACTGACTTCTCTTTTGTTGATTCCTAAAATCATAATGACATACTCTGGTTTCTCTTCAGATTGTATAAATCTTTCGCCTTTTACTAAAATCATACTGACAGATCTTGTATCCCAATGAGCAAAATGTCATGAATGGGTTGAAAAGTTTCTTAACTCCTCATTCTCACGAGGCTTAACTTACCTTCTGTTCATGAGGTAGCAAAGAAAATGCAATCAAGGGTGCTCCTCTCCTGAAGTCCCCAACCACTGAGACAGGGACTTCAGAGACATGAAGTGTGACATACCAGCCAACCTGCCAAAAGGAAGTAGAAAACAATCAGTATTCTCCTCAAGTCCCAATAATGATGAAACATTTCTCCAAATGCATTAAATCTCTCAAACTACCCTAAAACCAGCTCTTACCCTTTGAATTGCTTTTCACAGACACCTCAACTTCTTCAGTTAGCAACTCTGATGCCTCTTTGTTCCTAATATCACTCTTATCCATGACTTAGTGGTTCCCCGAATTCAATTATAAACAGCACAAAACTAAATTAAGTACTCCCGTGCCAAAAAGAGTAGAACAGCACCATGTGGTAAACAGATTATAGGATGGACAAGGGAAGGCAAATAAATACCTCAGCTCCTTCAACCTCTTTTTCCTCAATCTCTTTAAAGACACGTCTCCTAGTATTAGTAAAGTTCTGAAACTGAAAGATACGAGCATAATCTCGAGGAAGGTTTTCCTTAGGATCCCATGGAGATGTCCGAAAACTCTTGAGGCCTCTATATTTCTGAAATCTAAAATACAGGAGATTTTAAAGAAACTAAGAGATTATATGGTGCTATACAAGGCTCATATTACTTCTAAACTATCACTCTAGTTTAAAAGAACTCATTATCTCAAAATAACACAATCAGGGCCGGGGATTTAGCTCAGTGGTGCCGTGCCTGCCTTGCACAAGGTCCTGAGTTCGATCCCTTATACCAAAAAAACCCAAAAAACAAACAAATAAAAAAATCAAAGTACACAATCATCTATATCTTCATACTTTTATTTTTGTGTTTCTACCCAAATTCCCCCAAAATCTCCAAACATTATTAACTGGATATTAGCTCCTATAGGAAGTATTTGCTAAATTAACCTTAGTAGTTCTCCATTAGAGTCCTGTAACAGTCTGTACCACAGTCTAGGACATAATTATATATGAGTTTCCCATAGGCATGTCACCTTCCCATACAAAATGTTAGCCTTCAGGAGCAAGGAAAATATGTTTTTCTTCTTTTGTATCACATGAACATAGTTCTGATTCACAGAAGTTTTAAATAAAAGCTTGTTTAAACTTCAACTTGTTGACTAACCGAATTCTAGCAGCCACATCACGGGGTGTGTCCATTTCATCTGGAAACATCTCTTCCAGTCTTTCTTGTTTATATTTCTCTAACATTTTTTCCTCAGCCTCTTCATCCATTTTCTCATCATACAGATCATCATGCACTGACTCCCCTATTGTCATAGTTTCACATACTTCCTCCTCCTCTTCTTCACTACTCTCATCCTGTAAAATAATAGATTATACTGTAGTTACCTCAAAAAGCCCCACCTACCTCTACTCTAAAGACCATTAAGCTAAGAATAAAATAATTTTACTAAACATCCAGTCCCAACAAATATAAATTCTAATGAAGACTAAGTCAAAGCAAAAATCTTAGCCAGGCATAGTGGCCCTCGCCTGTAATTCCAGCTCTTGGAAGGCTGAAGGAGTCCCCCAGGTCTGAGGCCAACCTGGACTAGTGAGGCCCTGCTCAAGAAAAAAAAAAATTAAAACACACACACACTTATTCCCAGTAACAAGTCATTCCTAAACTGAATAAACACATCTCTAAAGGTCAGGATTGCATGATGGTCCACACCTATAATCCTAGCACTCTTGGGAGGCTGAGGCAGGAGGACTTTGAGTTCGAGTCAAGTCTGGGCAATTTAGCAACTCACTGAGATCCTGTCTCAAAATAAAAAAGTGAAAAAGGTCTGGGAAAATAGCTCAGCAAGAAGGCCCCAAGTTTAATCCCCAGCACAACAAAAATAAAAAATAAAGGTCAGGACTGCATTTTGCCTTATGTTTGGAGCTGTTACGGAAGTAGCCTAAGGGCCTATTGCCTTACCTGAGACTCCTCTTCCATAAAATTCTCATGTTCTATATCATCATAGTCATCTCCTTCCCCACAACTTTCACCACCTTCATCCAAAATCCATTCAGCTTGGTAACTGGATGTTCCTTTGGGGACCTTCTTGACCACCTTGGAGCTTTCCTTCAACAAGTCTATAAAACACAAACAAGTTTTGTATCTTCTCTCCCCCGCTCCCCCTCCATCACTTAGTTTTCTCATCTAGCAAGATACTAGATATTGCTGCCTACATGGGAAAGTAGCAGACACCATGAACAGAACAGAATACTCCCAAATCTAATTTAGCTATCTCACAATTACCAGTGCACACTTAAGTAAACCCTGCAATGGAGCCAAAGTTGTTTATTTGTTCACTGTAAAACAGTAACCCAGGTAATTTTGAGAAATAGAGCTAAGCTGTATTCTATGTTTGCTTAGTGCAATCATACAGCATTTGGAGGTAAGGGAGAACTACTACTATGACCTCATTCCACTCTACCAAATGGGGTGTGAGCAGCTAACCTGTGAATAGCTAGACAAAAACCCCAATTTCAGGTGAATGAGTAACAAGTTTGTTGCTACCAACCCTTTGCCTCACTCAGCTCATCCTCAGTGGGCCAAGTTTGCTCCCCATCCATTGGGTCTGGGATAACCTCTGTTTGCAAAGACTCCTGTCTGCTAGGGTCTGCCTTCATTAGGACCTTAAGGTCTTCTTCCATATCAGCCACAGCTTCTGTAGCACAAATCTGAAAACCAAGAGGTATTGGCCAAACATTAACCAAAAATCTACTAAATCTAACACAGTAACCAGAAACATCCAGAAATATCAGTCATTATATAGATTGCATAAAAGTCAAAACCTGTAAAAATCTTGTAAATGGGCATTTCCTAGCATTTTCACTCTACACCCCCGCTTGGCTTCTGAGGCCTTTTATAATCTGCCGATTACATTCCTCACTTCTAGTAAGCTGCTTTCTTCAAAATTCTAAAAACTCTCCCCTCTATTACTGGGCCTGGGGTTCATATTGTCTCTATCTTCACACATATTCTTTTAATTTTGTTCAACTCATAAATCATACTCATCCTTCTCAACACCGGGCTCAAGTCTGATCGCTACTGTAAAATTTTTTCAACTTCCACACCAAGTCTGTACTTTAACCATAGCCTACTCTTTTACAAGTGCTTGCCACGTTTTTCTAATTTAAATAAGTTCCTTGACAAAAGTAACCATATTTGTGTTTCTTCTATAAACTCAAAGCCAATTATCGTGCAGGGTACCTAAAAATGCTGGGTAAATGTAATTTATCAACATATTTGAAGTTGACTATTGCCTTATTTTGAACTAGCAGTCTCTTCTTTGGACCTACATGCACACACTACCTCCTCTGAATTTAAATTTCCATCCTACTGGGGTTGGCTTGGTGGTGCATACTTCAATTCCAGCACTCTGGGAGTCTGAGGCAAAAGGATCACAAGTTCAAGCCCAGCCTGAGCAACTTAGTGAGACTGTCTCAGAAACAAACAAGCAAGCAAAATCAGGATGGGCTAGGAATGTGACTCAGGGCAAAAACCCTGGATTCAATCCCCAGTACTGTCAAAAAATAACTTTCCATCCTATGCCAACTTACTTATGACACTACAATACATGCCTTTTTTTTTTAAAGCAGTGATGGGGATCAAGCCCAGGGCCTTGCATATTTGGGGCAAGTGTTCTACCACTGAGCTGCATCCCCAGCCCTATAATATGTACATGCTTTGGGGTTCAATCCCCAGTATCCTTCCCAAAAGTCAATCTGAAGCACGGCATGATGGTGCACCCATGTAATCCTAGCACTCAAGAGGTTAAGCCAGGAGGATCCCAAGTTGGAAGCCAGCCTGGACTACATAGTAATACCTTATCTCAAAAACAACAACAACAAAAACCATAAATATTGAATTGCATGGTAGTGTGCACATGCAGTCCCAACAATATGGGAGGCTGAGACAATCCCTTAGGCCCAGAAGTTCAAGACCAGCCTGGGCAACATAGCAAGAGTGCATCTCAAAACAAAACATTATTTTTACCTCCACTGCCATGCCTGGGTCCTTCTGAGATTTAATCACTCTAGGATTTAAAGGGAAAGGGTCCACGGGGGCATCTATCTGCTTCATTTGAAAATCACCATGTCCAACGATATGCAGCAAGCTATTTACATTCAGAGTCTGCCCACGAACATAGCCTGAGATTTTCAAGGTGCCTAACCAGTTACTCTCTTCACTAGGCACAAAATCAGCAGCATAAGCAAACAAGTAGGCCCGACGATCTCGAAAAGCAAGATGCCGTTGCTTTTGGTTAGCCAACTGCCTAAGCAGCATCCCTGCCTCCTGTTGAGTGTTTAACAAGAAGAATTTGTCATCAGGAAAGCGCTTCTCCACTACTTTACTTAGCTTCTTTCTGGAATCTAATTGCTTCTTTGGTGGGAGGCCAGAAACCCCTTGGACAGCTAGTGCTGTAAGCAAAAAGAAAAAAGGCTTCATTACATGAAAATCCTGCTGTAGTTCACAAACTAGTAGGATCACAAAAAAGAGATATCAGTGAAACCAAACTTCTTATCTTTCTTGTTCTGGGTAAAGGACAGCCCAGAAATAAAAAGGCACCTTGGTTGATAATTTGTAATTAAAAGGCATAGTGCCTGAAAAATGATAGGTGCTCAACAAATGCTATAATTTGCTTCCTTCTCTGGCTCCAATACCCCAATTCACTTACTATAGGTGGGAAGCCCCTGAGCAAAAAGGCAGGAAAGGCAGTAATCCCCAGTGCTGTCCCAGCCTTCTAGTGGATCAAGGAGGAACAGGATGGTATCAGCCACTTTAGCCATGTCTAACACCGTGTGCAGATCCCCTAGAAATAGAAAACACCATAAGAAGTAGTGGTTGGCATAAACACATTATACTCACAAAATATTACTGATGTAAACATAAGGTTGGAAAAATATTGTATTCACTAACCAGGCTTTGCAGATGTAAAAAACCACCGATGTTTCAAACGGGGGCACAGCAGCATAAAGCAATGGGTGCTCTCCCATTCCTGCAGGTGCACAATTCCTGTGTCCCTATCCTGCAGCAGGCGAAGGGCTTCAAGCAAGGAAATTCTGTTATGCAAAGGAACCACCAGCACCTGATGAGGAGCCCCATCTTTGCTGCCTAGCTGTCTCTTCTCAGCCAGAACCTGTGAACAGAAAGGGTCAGAAAAATCTCTGTAATTCGCTCTAGTGTTGCATTTCCAACAGTACAGATGTACCTACGCCTAACCAGCACCTTTCTCGTTAAAGGCCACATGTACCTCAGGGGCCAGGGGGTGGCAGGTTCGTGGACTAAAGCAAAGAATGCTCTAGGCCTGAGTCTAGACCTGGAGGCCCCGACCTGTGCTTTGGCGTTATTCTCCGTCTTCACCCCCTTCCAAGGTCATTCCCGAGTTCAAGGTATCCATCTAGAACAGGGGAGAAGCCGCCCCACCTCCCAAACCCTTCCTCTCACCGCCTCCTTTTTCTGCTTTCGGAGCTGGCTGGCGCGATGCCTCTGGTCTACTCTGCTGAGCTCCTTTCTCACCTTCTTGCATAGGACTTTCAGTCCTACATGGCCTGCGGAAGCGATCAGAAGGGACTGTGATGTTCAGTAACAGAAATCCAACAAAGGGGGACCCTTCTCCGGACTCACAATGGGCTTTTCTCGCGGGTCCCATGCCAGAGACTGTAGCTCAGTCTAGGCCTAGGAAAAGCAGTCAGTGTGGACTAACAACCCTTTCTACCCTGTCTCCTCACCCTTGCCATCTCGCTGTGTGGATCCTCGACCTCGATGCCGCCCGCCTTTATGAGCTTTATTATGTTGCTTGAGCGGGCCGGAACGGTGCGCCGCCATGCTGCAGCTCACGTGCGCCAGTCAGCAGTACTTCCGGACCAGGCCCAGCGTTTCCGGTCCCCTCTGAGGGGCGGGCTCTCTCCCGGGGCGGGGCTCCCGCACCCTCTAGCGAAGTGTTTCCTTCGCGCCTGAGAGCGCGCGGCTTTGGAATCCCTCGGAACTGTCTTGCGAACTTTTCCCACGCCGCAGCCTGCGGTTGCGGGGGGGGGGGCTTTAAAACGCAGGATGTGGGCTCTCGGAACTTGGGCTCTCAATCCAGGAAGACTATTTTGCCCACCTATATTTTCATTTTTAATACTGTAAAGTTGCATCACGTAGGAAAATGTTGAATGGAATACTCTATTCGTGGCACAGAGGCCTCAGTCTCTCCTCTCACCTAGACTCGGGCACGCCGCTCTACTTTGCAACAAGTGTTCTTTATCAATGAACAACCTTTTCTTTCCCTGCACACTCAATTTTAAGTTCTAAGGCAGAACGCGCAGAAGGCGCTTCTCTGACCCTCACCATTTCTGCAAAAGATCCCGAGGTCCCTATTACTCCAACCTGCCCTCACAGAAGCCCAAAAAGGGTGCAACAAGACGTGGCGCCTCCAAAGTGGGCGAAGGAGAATGCCTGTGGGCTTCCTCCCCTCCGGCTCCGGTTCTTTTGAACCTTAAACTGCGCTTCAAATCTTTTCCCACACACTTTGCAACCAAGGGCGAAGGCTGGGCATGGGATCCAGAGGAGCAAGGGAACCAGGTAGCGAACGCTGCCTTTCCGTGGGCAAATTCGAGCTCTGGGGACCTAGTACTGGGAGCCCTGCGTTCCAATCCCTTGTTCTTCCTCCCGTTGCAAGAACGAGTTGAAAGAAGTTAACATCTAGCCAGGTTGACGGGCGCCCGGCGGGGCGCTGCGCCCGACTAGCTCACAAGGCGAGTTCTTGCCTTCCCGGCTGGAGCAGGCAAGTTGCCATGACAGCGGCCCCTGAGGCGCGCGCCTGGGCCCGCCGCCCCCGGCCGCACCCAGCCCCCCCCTCGTCGCAGTGCGCAGCCCCCCCCACGCCCCGGCTGTGGGAAGGGGCCGGGCCTGCTGCCTGACGTCTGTGCTGGGCTCAGAAGATGGCTGCGGAGCCTAGCACCCGGCAGTGGCTGCTCCGGCGGCGGCGGACTGGGAGCGCGGCGGGCGGGGGCTCCACCTTGCGCGTGGGGCGCTGAGCCGAGAGGCGTGGAGGCGGCTAGGGCGCGCGGGGGGTTCGGGGGCCCGCTCCGCGCTGCCTCCCCGCCACTCGCCGCACCATGGGCAGCGCTGAGAACGCAGTCAAAGAGAAACTGCTGTGGAACGTGAAAAAGGAGGTAAAGTCGGAGTTAAGGACCCCGGGGGCTTGCGCCCCGCGGCACGGTTGGGTGGGGGTTGGGGAGCTGAAGGTCCGCGTCCACCTCCGGAGCGAGTGCCCTCGGGCCTGGCCAGAGCTGGGCGGAGGCGGGGTCCTGGGTGGGCTTCGGCTCCCGCCCCTCTCTCAAATGGGGGCAGCGCCCCTCGGCCCCGGGGGCCCGGCTGGCGTTCCCGGGCGTGTTTGCTTCGCTGTCCCACAGCTCCCCGCCCTGTGACGGCAGCATCGCGGGGAGACCAAGATCGGGGGAGGGGTGGCGGCGATTTCTAGAGAACCAGAGCTGCCCATTCATTGCCCGACCTGCCAGGGGGCCGGGGACCCTCGCGGGTCTGCTGAGGTACCAAGCCGGTGATTTGGGGGCTCAGCTCCTCTGTCCTTCGCCCCCCTCCGGTATCCCTCTGGCGACTGAGTCGTGGCTGCTGGAGGGTTCGGTGCACACCTCACTGTTTCTCCCTCCACGCCCACCTGCTTACCCTGGAACGGGGTGGGGTGGGGGGCGGTGAGAATGGTTTTTAAGACTTGACTATTTTCCTTTCTGAGGGAAGCTCTCACGTCAGAAAGAAGAGAGTCCTTTTTACTGACCCCCCCTTTACCGTGACCCTGCTCAGAAGTCCATTTCGGCGCGCGGGGGAGGGGGGTTGTCCAAATGAATGACTCACCAGCGTATGAGAGCTCTGGCCTGCATAGTAGATGAAACGAAATTGGGCCCCCTTCCCCCTACCTACTTCTTTGGCTCAGTCTGCCAGGTGTATGCACTTCATGAGGGAGGGGAGCCCACCGGTTTTGTCTAATATGCCTTAGCCAATGCCTGGCACACACTGAGTGACTATATGGTAAATAAATCTGGAAATTGTGAGGTCTGAAAACAGAATTGTGAGGTGAGAAAACAGAAACTTTAGAATGGTTTGGACCTAGTTCTATGTAACCTTGATTAAGTTACTTAACCTCTGTCCTTTTGTTGTTTTTTTCCAGTACCAGGGATTGAACTTAGGACCTTGCACTTGCAAGGCAGGAGAGGAGCCACTGAGCTCAATTCCCAGCCCTATGGGTTTTTTAGGGGGTAGGATCTTTTTTTTTTTTTTAGAGAGGGTCTTGGTGTACAGTTTTAAGCTGGTCTTGAACTTCAGGTGATCCTCCTGCTTCAGCCTCCTGAGTGCTGGGATCCCAGGCATGCACCACCACACCTGGCCCTTAACCTGAGTCTTGATTTCTTTATCTTTTTAAGAATAGGGATTATCTACCTTTCGTATAAAAAATTTGATGGGTCCTTTACCCTTCTTGGAGTTTCAGGATTAGGGCAGGGTTTGGATTCTTATAAAATCCCAGAAAATTCTAGGTCGTTCTCCATTAACTATAGCCTGGCTGCTGTGCCCTAACATTTATTCCCTAACATTTGTTCCCTTTCATCTCCGTGGCAGATGTAGTTAAAGCCATCACCTTTCCAGCTTATGTGAGCTGCTTCTCTGGGCTTTTGTTTTGTTTTGGTTTTGTGGTACTGGGGATAGAACCAAGGGCCTTCACCCTGAGCTACACCCTGCCCCCTTTAAATTTTGAGACAGGGTTTCGCTAAGTTGCCCAAGTCTGAACTTGCAGTCTTCTGTCACAGCCTCCCAGGAGTGGGAAGGTTTCTTAAACCAGAGGTATATCAAATCAGCATTTAAGCCTCAGCCTCCAAGCCCCCCCGCCAAGGGAAAGAGAAATCTGGTGATTATCTTCAGAAAAAAGTGTAGTGACAGAGATTTCAGTAAGAGTATAAACAAAAACAGAAAAGTAGCTAAACACAAACTACAGACAGATGTTTTAAAGGATTATTGGTATGATCTCATTTGGTGATTGGTTAGGGATATGGGGAGAGATTTTTGAGAACTGATTTTTTTTCTCTCTCAGTACTTAGAAGTTTGTATTATTCCAAGAGTGGTTCCTAAAAAGAGTGAGAAGTGTCTAGATACACAACTGTGTATCTGTCTGACAAGATTTGATCTGCTCTGGACTACATGTATTTCTCTTCCTCTTTCAGTGCTTGGTTTACAAGAAAACATTCTTTCCTTTCATACAAAAAGAGAAAACAGGCTGGGCCTAGTAGCACATGCCTGTAATTCTAGCTACTGGGGAGGCTGAGGCCAAAGGATCTCAAATTCAAGGCCAGCCTGGGCAGTTTGTCTAGATCCTGTCTCAAAATAAAAAATTAAAGGGCTGGGAAAGTATCTCAGTGTGAAGGCCCTGGATTCAATCCCCAATACTACCAAAAAAAGATAAGGAAAGAGAAAAAGAATAGGGATAATTAGGGCCAGGGATTTAGCTCAGTGGTTTCACCACGCTGCGCAAGCACAAGGACCCGAGTTCGATCCCAGTACCAAAAAAAAAAAAAAAAAAGAATAGGGATAATTATAGGCAAAGCTGGCCTTTACAAAGGAACGCTAATATAATTCTAGGAGAATCTGTTAGTCTTCTTAACCCCCCAAGCCTTAGATGCCTGCAGATCTTCAGTTGTGACATTATGCCCTGTTTAATGCAAATACCCCTTGGGAAGTAATCTAGGAAGCTTTTAACAGTTTAGTGTGCAAGGATCAATCTGATCTCATTCCTGTTTGCCTAACCACTAACCATGAGCTTTTCCAGCCCATCTGGTCTCCCTCCTTCCCACTCTTCCTTGAATGCCATGAATGCTGTACCACTCTCTAAACTGCACAGTGCTGAATGAGAGGCCTTGGGAGCCAGGGCCTGTAAGACCATCCAAAGAATGCCAAAGACTAGCTATGCCCAGAGTTTACTTTATCTGTAAGATTTTACAATGGGACTGAGAAAATCTGGCTCTCTAACCTGCAGTGTTACTATCTGTCTCCTGGCATATTCCCAGGACATCACCAGTGCTTGGAACCTTATATAATGCTGATGGGAGTTTGAATTAGTACAACCACCTTTGAAGCATTTTAGCATATATTTATCAGAAATTCCTTGCCTAGAAGTATAAATTTTAAAAAGCTAGCACATATGTTTACCACGTCTAGAATGTTCATAGCAGCACCATTTGTAACAGCCCCAAACTGGAAACACCCAGATGCCAGTCACTTGTGGTGTGTACACCAGTGGGAATAGACAATTGAGAACTGTACACAACATGAACAAATCTCACAATCACACTGGTGAGCAAAATAAATCATTTGTCAAATACCGTGCTAAGTTACACCCCCCCAAATATATATATAGATATATATGTTAACATATAGTTAGGGGGAGCAGGGTCTCGCTATGTAGCCCAGTCTGGCCTTGAACTCACAGCAATCCTCCTATCTTAGCTTCCCAAGTGCTAGGATTACGCCTGGCTCAAATTACTCCCATTTATAAAAAGGATAGAAAGTAAACCTAATGGCATTAGAAGTTAGGATAGTGGGTACCCTTGGGAGTAGTAACCAGAGAGAAACATGACAAAGAAGGGGCATTTTGAGTTGCTGGTCACATATTCTTTTTCTTGCTCTAAATGCTGGTTTCACAGAAATGTTCAATTTGTGAAAATTTACCAAGCTGCAGGGCTGGGGATTTAGCTTAGTGGCACTGCACCTGCCTTGAAGTGCAAGGTCCTGAGTTTGATCCCCAGTACCAAAAAAGAAAAAAAAAATTCACCAACCTATAAAATTATCATATAAACTTTTCTGTCTGTTTATAGAATAGTAAAAATAAACAGTTAATAAGCCAGGTGTGGGGCAAATGTCTGTAATCCCAGCAGTCTGGGGGACTGAGTTCACAAGTTCAAACCAAGCATAGGTAACTTAATGAGACCCTGCCTCAAAAAACAGAAAAGGCTGCCTGCCTCACAAGCACAAGGTCCAGAGCTCGATCCCCGGTACCAACAAACAAAAAAACTGAAAAGGGCTGAAAATATAGCTCAGTGCAAAGGCTCTGGGTTCAGCCTCTGGTACTAAAATAAATAAATACTTAAACAGTAAATAATTTTCATTTTTTAAAGATTTTTGGCTTTTTTTTTTTTTTTTTTAGTATCAGGGATCGAACTCCAGACCTTGCACTTTCAAGGCAGGCAGCAAAACCACTGAGCTAAATCCCCGGGCCTGGCTTTGCTTTTTTGCAGTGAAGGGCTAGAACTCACGGCCTCACACATACTAGGCAGTGCACAGAATGATGTTCCCATGTCCACTTGAAGTCCCTCAAGTGTTAAGGAAAATGTGACTGTTCACCTTATAAGATATTTGGAAGCTTTTATATATGAGGAGGAACCGAAAACACCAGGGTTTTAAAACCCAGGTAAATAAAATAAGACCATGAAGCAAGTGTCCCTGAGGCCTGGGTGGACCTAACCTTGGAGAAGAGGGAGAAAAAGAGAGGCAGGTTGTTTTTATGGAGCCTGTACTGAAACAGTCTATCCCTGAAGGACAGTGTTTGTGCCTGGAAACCCATCTCCGGCTGAGCGCACAAGAGCAAACTGCCTCCTATTGCTGTTCTCCAAACCAGGCACTTCCATCTGGACTAGAACCTCTTGACCATTTGGTGGATTTTGACATCGTTTTTCCCAGTTTCCTCTCCAAAAGGTTTAGAGTAGGCTATATTGAAAAAAGTTTGCATCCGGAACAGGGATTTAGCTCAGTGGTGCTGCTGCCTGCCTTGCAAGTGCAAGGTCTCGAGTTCGATCCCCAGTACCAAAAAAAAAGAAAAGAAAAGAAAGTTTGCTTCCCTACCTTCCAAGCTTGTCATCTCTATAAGTGTCTAATAATCCAGACCAGGAATTCAGAACCAAACTATTTACCTGCCTGGAGGCTTTTCTTTTTTGGTGCTGGGGATTGAACCTAGGGCCTTACACGTGCAAAGCACACATTCTACAGCTGAGCTACAGCCCCCAGGCTTCCTGGAGTCCTATGATCAGGAAAAACAAAAGTAAATATGATTAAGTAACTATGCTCTCCATTTGTCCCCAGGTAAAGCAAATCATGGAGGAAGCTGTCACCAGGAAATTTGTGCATGAAGACAGCAGCCACATCATTGCTCTGTGTGGTGAGTGAATAGACTTAGAGATGATGGGAAGGAGGTTTAGAACTGAAGACATTGTTCTGGGACCAAGAAAAATTAGTACTCAGGTTTAATAGTTCTCAAATCTGGCTACAAGTCCAAATCAACCCAGAAACTTTTTTTTTTTTTTTTTGGTACCAGAGATCGAACTCAGGACCTTGTGCTTGCAAGGCAGGAAGTGGCACCACCAAGCTAAATTCCCAGCCCAACCCAGAAATATTTTTGAAATCACCTTGTGCACCATCTTAAACCTACTGAATCAGGATCCAAGGCCAACCTGGACTATATAGTGAAACACTGTCTCAAATAAATACATACATACATACATACATACATAAATTTTAAAAGGCTGGAGCTGAAGCCAGGTGTGGTGGTGTACTCCTGTAATCCCTTGGGAGGTTGAGGCAGGAGGATCCCTGCAAATTTGAGGTCAGCCTGGGCTACATAGTGAGTCCAAAGCCAGTATGAACTACATACTGAGATCCTCTGTCAGAAAACCAAAAATAATTAAGTAAATAAATAAATAAATAAATAAGGCTAGGGCTGTAGCTCAGTGGAAAGGCTTGGGTTCAATCCCCAGTACCCCCAAAAAAGCAAGAATGCTTGCAAGCAAGAAAAGAGAAAAAAAACTATAAAGGAAAATAAAGCACAGAGCTATGGGATGGTAATGGGGAGAGACAGCCTGTGAGCAGAGGCACTCTAAGTGACACTGGGATTTGAATCCTGGTGACTACTTGAGTCACCTTGGACAACTTTCTTAACTTCTGTGACCTCAGTTTGCTTTAAAATCAAGGCAAATGGGGCTGGGGATTTAGCCCAGTGGTTTTGCCTGCTGTACAAGTGCAAGGACCCGAGTTCAATATCCGGCACCAAAAAAAAAAAAAATCAAGACAGTGAAGCTGGGTACTGTGGCACATGCCTGTAATCCCAGCTACTTGGAAGGCTGAAGCAGAAGGTTCATAAGTTCAAGCTTAGCTTAAGCACCTTAGTAAGACCCTATTTGAAAATAAAAAATAAAAAGGACTGAGGATGTAGCTCAGTGGTAGAACACTTGCCTAGTGTGTATAATGCCCTGGATTTAATCCCCAGATTTAGAAAAAAAAACTTTTAACAATCATGGCAATGATTCCCACCTTAAGGAATTTTTTGTGATGATTGAGTTGATGCCTGTGAATGTTCCTAGCAATGTAAGAGTTCAGAAAATGTTTGCAGGATTGCAGTTCCCACCATCTTCTTTTTGGATAAATTTCCCAGTTCTCTGAGATGGTGTATTGATTCCCAGGTTTCCAAAAGAGCAACTTGATCTCACTTTTTCTTGGCAGCACCTATGCTGGAGAAAAGGCTGGCCAGTCTTACGTTGAGTAGCTATGGAAGAGTATTAGAACTCGACTTCTTTCCACCTATGCCATTTCCTTTGTTGTCTGCCCATGTCTGTCATCACTAGAAGGACTGTGCAGGTGGCCCAGTTGTTTGTGGCTTAGTTCTAAGCTTTGTCAAAGCACATACACTAGAGAAAACAGAATCGAATAGTGCAAACAGCTTGTGGATGGGTGCTGTGTTTGGGTGGCTGTGGGAGATGAGAGAGAAGGGGCTGGAGGAATACAAGCAGGAGAAAAGTTGTGGGTATCCCACATTCAGACCATTTGGGTGAGAAACAGCTGTCAGCTTTCCTCCACTTGGCCCAGGAGTCCCCTGGAAGCAGTGTGGCTTTTACTTTTGCCTCCTTCGTGGAAGCTCAGGCTCTTTCTAGCAACCCAGGATATGACACTCAAAAGGAATAATTTTCTTTCAGCAAGTTGCAGTTGATGAACTAGAATAAGGCCTTCAAATCTCCAGGGTTCTGAACTCAGTCCAGGAGCAAAGGCAGCCTGTTCTGCTAGTCCCCAGGAGGTGCCTGAGTACCATCAGTACAAACTTCAATGCCTGCAGAGTCAGACAAAAAAATATCCACAAACAAAGACAATAGGAAGTAGCAGGGCCCAAGATGACCTGATTGCTCTTTCCCTGTGTGAAAAGGTACAGCCACTCTTCAGTTCCAGTGGGGCCCAGTTTTCCCATGGCCTCTTTCTAAGAGAAACCAAAAGTCTAGGATTTATATGAAATTTCTCACTTTGCAAATGATGATAACTAATTCTCATTTTTTAAAAAATTGTGTGGGCCCAACAAAAGGCATTTTCAGACCTCTGCCAATTGCTGCCTGTGCCGTGGGCTCAGTACATAGTTACTGAGGAGAATGTGAGCAGGAGGAGTTGCCGATAGTATTGAGCTGGAGCATCTGAGATTCACAGAAAACAGAACTTTTAGCAAGCAGGATGATGCACACCCATAATCCCAACACCTTAGAGGCCAAGGCAGGGGGGATCACTTCAAGTTCAAGGCCAGCCTAGGCATCATAGTAAATTCAAGGCCTGCCTGGACTACATAGTGAAATCTTGTCTCAAAATGAGTTTTTAAAACCCCAGAATCTTTGTGTTTTGTCAGAATTGGTATTTCAGATGACACCAATTTGTGTTCCACATTTGAGCTCAAAATAAGATTGGTTTAGGGCTGGGGATTTAGCTCAGTGGTCCCTCCTCGCCTGCCTTGCAAGCGCAAGGTCCAGAGTTTGATCCCTGGTACCAAAAAAAAAATTGGTTTAAAGCAGTCGTTATCAACCTTTTTTTCCCCTGCCTGTACCCACTTTCACAAGTATCTCACACACACACGCGCACGCGCACACACACACACACACACACACACAGCAGAAATCATAATCACAGACACTTTATGGGAAGAAGAGGGAGGACTAGATAGTACTGTTTGAAAATGCCACCCCTCAGGCTTTTTAGAGATTCTAATATGCCAGTCTCCCTGCCCCCTGAAAAATGCTCAGCAATGCATTTTTAATCTGAAGTAGATCCAGACATATTGGGTCTTGTTGTTCTAGCCATGTCCAGAATTCAGCTTTGTTCTGGAAGAATAGGATTTCAGGGAACATACGAGAGGTCAGGGCCAGAGTGAAGGCTCCAAAGACTGGTCTAACTGTGGGGTGACCACATTCCATAGAACCTTCAGGGGTGCTGGGGTCCTGGACCACTACACTCCATGTTGGCCCTCTGTTCTTGGCAGAGGAGGGGTAGGGGGTTACTGAGAGGCCCAGGCTAGGCAAGATGAACCTCTCCTGCTTTCTTAGAATATAGATATTTGGCCAGACATCTGTAATCCCAGTACTCTGGGAAGCTGAGGCAGGAAAATCACAAATTTGAGGCCAGTCTGTACAACTTATTTTACTTTTGTTTGTTTTGAGACAGGGTCTGGCTGTGTTATTCAGTCCGGCCTTGAACTCACTAGCCCAGGCTGGCCTTGAACTTGCAGTGATCCTCCTACCTCAGCCTCCTGAATGCTGGGATTACAGGCATACACCACCTTGCCTGGCTCAGCCTATGCAATTTAGCGACTTACTGAGACCCTATCTGAAAATTAAAATTAAAGGCTGGGGACATAGCTCAGTGGGAAGGCCCTGGGTTCAATCCCTGGTACTGCAAAGAAGGAAAAGGGAGGGAGGGAGGGAGGGAGGAAGGGAAAAAACATATACAGACATTTGAATCTGAAACAGAACCTTCCTAGAGAACCCTAGAAATTGAAGTGAAGAATTCCGGAGTTGAGACTTGGCCATAGGCAAACCCAGTGAAACTGTGGCCAGACTCCTGTTCCTGTCACCCAAGGAGAAGGGCAGGACCTGAAGGATTGGCCTAGAAAGGCACATTTGTGGTTTGCTGTGGTTGTTACTAAACCTGTCTGTCCAGAAGCCAGTCAGGCCCTGCAAGTAGAACCTTCAATGTGAACCTGTGCTGCCAAACCTGGCTGCCAGGGAAGGGGCTTCTACATTTGCTGTCCCTCTTACTGCAGAGCGTGTCTGCAGCACTGCTCAACTATGCCACTTCCAGACCCCAAGGCCAGAGGATTCAGACCTGGAGAATGGGCTCAAAACCACTATCATGGAGGGGATTTAGCTCAGTGGTTCCACTGCCTGCCTCACAGGCGCAAGGACCCGAGTTCGATCCCCGGTACCAAAAAAAAAAAAAAAAAATTTTAAAAACCACTATCACGGAAAAGGGATCTTTGATATCCCTTTTTTGTCTTAAAATGTCATGTCAGGTTTCCATTAGGGTCTATGATAGAGTCTTTGTTTTTCGAGCTTTTTGTTTGTTTGGTTGGTTTGATTTGATTTTTTTGCTGCTGGGACTTGAACCCATGGCCTTACTAAATGCATACTGCCTCATTGAATTATACTGACCCCAGACTGGTCTTTGAATTGAATTTTTTTGTTTTTTGTTTTGGTACCAGGGATCGAACTCGGAACCTTGAGCTTGCGAGGCAGGCAGTGGAACCACTGAGCTAAATCCCTAGCCCCTGAATTGAATTTTATTTTACTTTATTTTATTTTATTTGGTACTGGGGATCGAACTTGGGTCCTTGTGCTTGTGCAGCAGGTGGTGAAATCACTGAGCTAAATCCCCGGCCCACTGAGCTAAATTCCTGGCCTGAATTGAATTTTAAAGATTTACTCTTGGGGCCTGGAGATGTGCCTGAGTGGTAGAGCAATTGCCTGATATACATGGGACCCTGGTTTCAATCCCCAGCACCACACCCCCTCCCCCAAAGACTTACTGTTGAACCAAATTAATGTTTTTTGGGGGGGGTTTTTGGTTTTTTTTTTTTTGGTACCGGGGATTGAACTTGGGACCTTATGCTTGCGAGGCAGGCTCCGGAACCACTGAGCTAAATCCCCAGCCCTAAATTAATGTTTTTGATGTGGCTTCATGAATCCACTTCCATAGGCTGGTATCTCCTGCCACCCCTTGTTTTAGAGGGGAAGGTGCTTTTAGCATGTACTTGTGCACAGACTATTCGGGATCAGAATTAAACAGCAATTGTTCCCAGTTTTTTGAACCGTGCATCTGAAATAGTAATGCATAGGCTTAAAGAGGCACAGTTATTCCCTT